ATGGATGACCACTACAATCTCATTGATTCCCCCTCAGCCAGCCACAGAGGGACCAACGCCGACAACCACGGGTACGCGGAGACGGAGAAGGACATCATGACAGTTGTTGCGTGCGATAATATGCTGGAGGAAACCGCGGCGCTTCCCAGTCACCTGTCGCTGGATCGATACGAGCCGGACCACGAGTGCTGCGAGCGAGTGGTCATCAACATCTCGGGGCTGCGCTTCGAGACCCAGCTGAAAACTTTCAACCAGTTCCCGGACACGTTGCTCGGGGACCCGAAGAAAAGGATGCGCTACTTTGACCCGCTCAGAAACGAGTATTTCTTTGACAGGAACCGACCGAGCTTCGATGCCATCCTGTACTACTATCAATCCGGGGGCCGCATTCGGAGACCCGTGAACGTTCCCATTGACATCTTCTCGGAGGAAATTCGCTTTTATCAACTTGGCGAGGAAGCCATGGAGAAATTTCGCGAGGATGAAGGCTTTATCAAAGAAGAAGAGCGACCGTTGCCAAACCACGAATTTCAGAGACAGGTTTGGCTTTTGTTTGAGTACCCAGAGAGCTCTGGTCCTGCCAGAGGCATTGCTATCGTGTCTGTTTTGGTCATTTTGATTTCCATTGTTATTTTCTGTTTGGAAACTCTGCCTGAGTTTAGGGACGACAAGGACCCAACTACTGTCCCTCCTATTGTAAATGGCACTGGCCCTTTTGCATCCAGCACTTTCACAGACCCTTTCTTTGTGATCGAAACCCTTTGCATCATCTGGTTCTCTTTTGAACTGCTCGTGCGATTCTTCGCGTGCCCCAGCAAGGCTACTTTTTCCAAAAACATCATGAATATCATTGATATCGTGGCTATTATTCCTTACTTTATTACTCTGGGGACGGAGCTGGCCGAGAGTCAAGGCAACGGCCAGCAAGCCATGTCGCTCGCCATCCTCCGCGTGATCCGTCTGGTGAGGGTCTTTCGCATCTTCAAGCTATCACGCCACTCCAAAGGCCTCCAGATTCTCGGCCAGACCCTAAAAGCCAGCATGCGGGAGCTGGGACTCCTCATCTTCTTCCTCTTCATTGGGGTCATCTTGTTTTCCAGTGCCGTCTACTTCGCAGAGGCCGATGACCCTACCTCCAGTTTCAGCAGCATCCCTGATGCTTTTTGGTGGGCTGTGGTTACCATGACTACAGTCGGCTATGGGGACATGCATCCAGTAACCATTGGAGGCAAAATTGTGGGTTCTTTGTGCGCCATCGCTGGTGTATTGACCATTGCGCTGCCCGTACCTGTCATTGTGTCCAATTTCAATTACTTTTATCACCGTGAGACTGATGGGGAAGAGCACGCACAATACCTCCACGTTGGCAGCTGTCAGCATCTCAACTCCACAGAAGATCTGAAACAGACACAGAGCACGTCCTCCCTCAGTAAATCGGAATATATGGTCATAGAGGAAGGAATAAATAGTGCTTTCAAACAGCCAAACTACTCCAACCAGAACAATCAAAACTGCGTGAATATTAAAAAGATTTTCACAGACGTGTAAATCATGTATAGTGCCAGACAGTCTTACAGTAATCACCATGATGGCACCAATGCGAATGCGAGGTGCTGCGTTATTCAGGTACAACGGGGCTAAAAGCCTCCATTTGAGGGAAAATTTGATTTTTTTTTGTTTGGCTCCTAAAGTAAATGGCAGTTGAAAACAATTATTTTTACTGAATATAGATGGAGATATATAATTTGCATAAAGTAAATAGTAGTTTGTTTTGATTAAACAAATAAATCAATACAAAGGCAGCTAGAGTGAAAATCTGTCACCATATGCAAATGCTTTTGATGTAGCAAGATATTTTAGAGTAACATTTAAATACTTCAGCAAATGGTGTAGCTATTTTCAGTTTATTTACTCACTTATGGCATTTCATGGGAGGCCGATGACCCTACCTCCAGTTTCAGCAGCATCCCTGATGCTTTTTGGTGGGCTGTGGTTACCATGACTACAGTCGGCTATGGGGACATGCATCCAGTAACCATTGGAGGCAAAATTGTGGGTTCTTTGTGCGCCATCGCTGGTGTATTGACCATTGCGCTGCCCGTACCTGTCATTGTGTCCAATTTCAATTACTTTTATCACCGTGAGACTGATGGGGAAGAGCACGCACAATACCTCCACGTTGGCAGCTGTCAGCATCTCAACTCCACAGAAGATCTGAAACAGACACAGAGCACGTCCTCCCTCAGTAAATCGGAATATATGGTCATAGAGGAAGGAATAAATAGTGCTTTCAAACAGCCAAACTACTCCAACCAGAACAATCAAAACTGCGTGAATATTAAAAAGATTTTCACAGACGTGTAAATTATGTATAGTGCCAGACAGTCTTACAGTAATCACCATGATGGCACCAATGCGAATGCGAGGTGCTGCGTTATTCAGGTACAACGGGGCTAAAAGCCTCCATTTGAGGGAAAATGTGATTTTTTTTTTGTTTGGCTCCTAAAGTAAATGGCAGTTGAAAACAATTATTTTTACTGAATATAGATGGAGATATATAATTTGCATAAAGTAAATAGTAGTTTGTTTTGATTAAACAAATAAATCAATACAAAGGCAGCTAGAGTGAAAATCTGTCACCATATGCAAATGCTTTTGATGTAGCAAGATATTTTAGAGTAACATTTAAATACTTCAGCAAATGGTGTAGCTATTTTCAGTTTATTTACTCACTTATGGCATTTCATGGAATTACAATGTAACTGAAGTCAGATTTCACATTGTAACTAGAGCAGTTAATATCAATCCACTTTACACATACTTAACAAAATGATAATTACAGAATACAGTTAGTTGCACGCCTTAAGATTCAGAAATCTGAAGAAAAAACTTCAAAATCAAGTCTTTTGTCAGTGCACACCTCATAAATCAGGACATTTTAGCAGTGCATAGAGATTAGAGTAACATTTAAATACTTCAGCAAATGGTGTAGCTATTTTCAGTTTATTTACTCACTTATGGCATTTCATGGAGTTACAATGTAACTGAAGTCAGATTTCACATTGTTACTAGAGCAGTTAATATCAATCCACTTTACACATACTTAACAAAATGATAATTACAGAATACAGTTAGTTGCTCTACAGGTAGTCTGCATCGTCATCCTTTACCAACATAACTACATTTTTGCCTATTCAACAGGTACTGAAATCTAAATCTCCTTCAGTAAAAATCATAAATCTGTAAGTCTTGAGATATATAAAATAACTGTAATGATTTATATTAGCTACATAAATCTGAAAAACCAAATAAGTATTTTGTTATTGCACGCCTTAAGATTCAGAAATCTGAAGAAAAAACTTCAAAATCAAGTCTTTTGTCAGTGCACACCTCATAAATCAGGACATTTTAGCAGTGCATAGAGATAAACAGGTTTTTAGGAAAGTACTGTGGTAGTTTTTGTTGCTATTTAGTGTTTTGGGAGTATGTAAATCACAAGGGCCTTTTACCCCAGGGGGCCTTTAGATCCGTTGTACCCTACATGTTATGGACAAGCCAGCATATTAAACTAAAAGTTTCGCAGGGCGCTTTTTTGGTAGAAAGGTGCCAAACTCCGATTCACGTGTTGCATTTGTCCACAGCACAAAGGATAAGGTTCAGGTCAGGGACTAAAAAGAAGAAGCACCCACACTGAAAATATTGTGCTCGTAAGTCTGTGTTTTGTTATCAGTGTTAACATATAATCATCATAATACGTTAGTATTCGCAATATCTTACGTTTTGTGGCAAAGTGAAACAACCAAATATGTGTCGCTGTTAATGTGAACAAACTGAAGATAATGCTGTGTTGATCATATGTATTTTGTTGAATATATGGGTGAATCTTCAATTAGGGGAACTTTCATGTCATCTAAGGTGATTTTAAAAGAAAAAAAGTTAAGAATAGATTAAAGTGCCTCTTTAATTGCTTTTTCCTAATTTTAAGAGTGCTGAAATGTGAAATGTGCCAGAATTGTCTCCTACCCAGACTTTTTAACTTCTCTTCTAAAGTCATTTATAAAATGCGTTCAAATCAGGGAAATTTTACAAGGAACTTAAAAACAAACAAACAGAAACATATATATATTTTATTTTTACAAATATTTTATAACAAAGAATTACATGTCCCCAATACTGCTGTCAGTTTTTAATAAATTAACAAATTTTCAGTTGTTGTTTTTTTCAACATGTTATGAAGTTATACATGACAGAATATCATTAATTTTAGGAATTAAGAAGAAATCATGACCTTAGAGTAGATTTCTATTAGGTGTCATAACCAAACATTATTTGGTTTGTCAATTTTGATTCTGAAACAATTAGTTTCTTGTATTTTTATTAATTATGTTAATTGGCTCACAACTTTTTTTTTTACCTCAAGGTTATTAAGGACATGTGATCAGTATTCTATGCTAATTCATATAGATTAAAATAGATAAACCGTTTTCAAAAAGTGCCCCGGTTGAAGAATCACCAATACATCTCAGTGCAGACTTCATTTAAATGCAATGAATGTGGAAGAACAAACAAACAAAAAACAAAAACAATATGTTTTGTTAATAATGTAATCAACGCTGTGTGTCTATTGAATCTGATTTGCCTGTACCAAATGAAATTGGTTAATACTAAATGAAAACAAATATATCTTTATTTTGTGATCAAGTTATTCGGTGTGCGAAAATGTAGTCATCTCCAAATAATGTAAAACTCAAATCATGTCCATAGCCTAAAAAATAGAGCGTTCACGATTTCCCTCAAAGTGAGACGTCACAGCAGAATCTGAATTCTGGGAGGAAAAAAAGAGGAAGCATCTGAAAAGGTGGCTTGGATCGAGGGGAAAAAGTGCGTTGGACTCGATGCCTCCACGACATGGGAGACTACAAGATCAGAAACTGAAAGACTGAGAGATCACTAAAAAATAGAGCGTTCACGATTTCCCTCAAAGTGAGACGTCACAGCAGAATTCTGAATTCTGGGAGGAAAAAAAGAGGAAGCATCTGAAAAGGTGGCTTGGATCGAGGGGAAAAAGTGCGTTGGACTCGATGCCTCCACGACATGGGAGACTACAAGATCAGAAACTGAAAGACTGAGAGATCAAGCCTTGAGTCCGCCTTTTGATGCAGTCTCCATGGTGACTACAGTTTCCTGGGTAACCCCCATTAATGTTACCATGACATCCTCTCCCGTTGTCAAAGCAACGCTCCAGATGGTTCACAAAGCCTGACTGGCAAAACAGAGCAATTGCGATCAGAAAAGTATCATGTAGGCTATCTCAATCCTTTATTGGATGCATCTCTAACATTTTGCAGCCTTATATTAGTATTTAAAAAGTATGTAAAACAGCTTCTGCAAATAATTTGCATAACCATGGGTTTGCAAACCATCTAGAGCTGATGCACTCCCACATATTTCCCTTTTTTTAAATCTTTTACAAATGACTGAATGTGTTGCATGTGGAAAATGACTGATATTGACAAGACGGACCGACAGACAGATGAAAAGCATGCTGTGCTTGCAAAATGCATGCACGGCTTCAGTGCGCGAAGTAGGTTGTGGTGGATTGTTATTGGCTCGGGTGTTTTTTCTTTGTAGCTGTCAAAGCGAGATTGTGTATAGGTTATGGGCTCACTCAGACGTTCCCTATTTGGCTCTCCTGTGGAGAAAACAGGACGCGAGGTGCAGCTTGAGCTGATTACCGGAGGTTTCACGCTGACGCTTCCGTTGACGGGTGTTAGAGACTGCGCTGCAGTCCGCCAGACACGTTCCAAGCGCTCAGTCAGAGAGAATCATTTTCAACCTGTAGATCTGTGCGGTTCAGTCACAGTCGTCTGTGCTTTCCGCACTAGTCGTCGTTTTACACTACCTAGAAATAGAGCAGCAACAGAAGACACGCATGGCTGTTATTAAATTAATTCATAAAGAAAACAAGTACAAACATTTGTTTAATCAAAACAAATCTGAATGTAATTTATTGCTCAATTTAGTCTGATTACTTGTACACTTTCATAACACCAGATGTGTAATGCTTATTTGACTGGTATGAAACAAATAGGTACTTGCTGACTTGTTGCTCAGTGCTGCCATCAAGTGACGCATCCTTGCAAAAGAAAAATCGCTCTTCTGATGACAAAGAATTCATGTGCATATCTTTGAAAGCCGGGTTTAACTTTGCCATCTAGACCCTGGAAAGAACATAAATTAATTTATCATGTCTACAATCCTATTTGGATGCAAAAAAATTCCCCCTCACTAAAAGCTTTTGCTTGTCTAGTTTTCAAACTTTTAGATACATTGGACCCCCAAATAGGCTAACATCCTCATGCAAGGGACCCCCATGCTGAAATTTTAAAGGCATTTATATAATTTGCTGTATAAAAAATGTTATACTGTCAAAAATAATAGTATTAATATGTATAAAGTATTATTTGGAAAATAATTAACTTAATAAATTAACTTTATTAGGCTACATTATTAATTTTTGTGTGTTCATTATTGTACTGAACTGTTTAATTAATTAATTTTACTTTATAATCATATTCATTCATTTACTTTATTTACGTATTTTAATCAAAAATCGTATTTATTTACAGACCCCCCAAGCATTTCCTTGTGGCCCCCTGTCAGTCCTTGGACCCCAGCTTGAAAATGCCTTGTCTAATGCATGTAGAAAAAAATCTACAAACTAATTTCTGCTCAATTTATTGTTCCCTCCATATTCAGATTCAGATGTTTTTCCATCTCTCTGAAACATTCAAGTATTCCTCTGACTACCAAGGGCTCGTCTATGATCAGCAGTGAAGGATGAGATCTTAATATAGTGTATGTGTGTTCGTTTGGTGCCTGCACTGACTCTCACATTTGCTAGCTGTTATATCCGAGGTGTTAACACAGAAAGCTTGCTGTCTGAGGTGTTGTGGCTTGCACGACACCTCTCAAAATTCAGGTTGACATCTTCATCCTAAGACTCACAAGTCCATTAACTCTTGCCTAAAGGGTGTTTATAACTGTGTCTTCTGCAGCAAAGTTAACTGCCTTTTTGTGTTTCTTTCAAGGAAGCAACATGGACGTCTGTTCACTGAAATTCTGGAGTTTGCTGATGACGGATATAAGGCTAATATGACAAACTGAAACACACTTGTGACATACTCCAAAACAATGAAGACAACGGGATTTAGAAGGTTAAAAAAAATGTTTTTTTTCTAAATATTATTTTGCTGCCCAATATTATTGTTGAGCACTAAAATGCAGTTGATTCTTAGCATAATTGTTTAACCGTAATTGTTCACATATGCTGTTAAATCAAAAGAAAGTAATTAACTCTGCAGAATTTAATGCACCTATAGCACTTAAACTACCGTTCAAACATTTGAGGTCAGATTTTTTAAATGTTTTTGAAAAAAGTCTCTTAGTTGATAAAAAATACAGTTTTTTAACTAATAACTGTTTTTATTTTAATTTAATTTGAAAATGTAATTTATTCCTGTGATGTAACGCTGAATTTTCAGCATCATTACTCCAGTCCTCAGTGTCACATGATCTTTCAGAAATCATTCTAATATGCTGATTTGCTGCTCAAGAAACATTTCTTATAATTATACATTTTGAAAACAGTTGTGCTACTTAATATTTTTTTGTGGAAACTCTGATAACTTTATTTTCAGGATTCTTTGCTGACATATAAAGTTCAAAAGAACAGCATTTATTTAAAATAGAAATCATTTCTAACATTATATATGTCTTGACTGGCACTTTTGATCAGTTTTTTTTTTAAATACACTCATTTTACACAATAAGAGGTAATAAAAAGCATAAAATATATAGGGCATATAACTGTTGTTTTATTTCTGTCCAGATGGATGCCGTTATATTGGCATTTCTGTTGTGGAAGATAAATTGATTATTTGGCATGAAATTGTATTGTGGGGAATGAAGTGTGTTTATGCATGGCATTGATTTGCAGATGAAATGCCCTTTGCCATGCAGAGCAAAACAAAATAAAAAATCCAACCTCTAATGGATTTCACATTAGATTAATATATCGTCATTTTAAGGAAACACATCTCAGATGGTGCTAAAATAAAAAACGGGCTTTCCTCCTGCTATACAAACCGAACATGTCAGAGATATGGCCATTTCAAATTTGAATCCAAGTTTTGTCCTTAAATGTCTTTCATAGGGAATAAACTCAGATCAGATCAGATCAAATTCCGGAGGTGCTGTATTCATATCCGACCTGTTCTGGCACAAATTACGGCCTTCAGGTGTATGATTTCAAGACATTTTTCCTCTTATAATATGAAAACAAATATAAATTGATGCCCTTTTACAAATGATTATGCATACACTAAAGTTTTTGTTTACTTAACCTTGAAGGCTCCAGCAAACAGAGCAGATTTATGCTTGTAATTCTGCCTTGATTCTTAAAGCTGTTGGGTAACTGGAGCAGTTTACCACCGTATTCATTTTAAGTGCATGTGTTTGTGCTCGCAATATGTTAAAAATTTCCTCTAGTCATCTCGCACTCGCTCTTGAGTGATATAACTGTTCTATCATTGTCACCGGAGGTGCCGCGTCTGCTTCAGTTCATTAATTTGCCGGAGACAGAGGTCGACTAAAAGGGAGAGTCAGATAATCATGACAGAGAGACACATTGTAATGCAGAGCTGTGCTCAAGTAGGCAGTATAATATATAAAAGTCTTTCAGTTTGAAAGATGTGTTTCCCTCTCACTTGAGCGTGTGAGTAAACTACTTCATTTCATCTGTCACATTCCAGCAGCGTAATACGTTTGCGTGTGTCTGTTTCTGCAGGCTCCGGGGGTGATCCACACATGGATGACCAATAGAAACGAAGGCCGTTAACCTTTCTGCTAACAGAACTCACCTTCAAACAACACAGAAGATGCCCGCATATCTCTACTGCCACTTCTCATTTACGTCTGGCTGATTCACAGTGAACCGCAACAGTGGCCTTTTTTGGGTAAATTCTGCAGATTCACATTTAATATGAAGAAAGCAATACGAAGAGAACTGAACTGTTGGACATGAGCTGATCATCTATGACACAACTGCCCTCTGCTATCTGGCAGATATGAATCAAGTTGTTTTTTGGTGTCCATCATGTATTTACAGTTTAGCTGTTGTTGTGCCAGATGTGAGAACTATGTGGAAACTAAATCTTTCTTGCTCTTTGACCATATAAATAGTCAGACAGATATTTATATTGCCTATATATTCATTTGATGGAATCAACAGTCTGAAGTACTTCATTCGATATACTCTCTAGAAAGGTATTTGAGACTCTTCAGCTACACTTAAAAATCTGTGAATGTCACTGCATTACAACAAAATATCAAACCATGCACACTTTTCAAGCAAAACATGTTTGTTAGGTTTTAAATGATAAAATAATAGATTAACTGTTCAAAAAGAAAAACGGGACATTCAGACAAATCAGTTTTCGACTACAAATGGAAAACTTTATGCATTTTGTCTGTTCATTTACACGAGAGCAGCATTTTGGGGGAAAAAAATGCGCGTTACATACCAATACCTACAAAAAAAAGGTGAATTTGTAAAAATGTATAGTTAAGTGCACAGGTGCATAGTGTTTCTTTATAAAGTGGCATCACTAACTACTGACTTAGTGGTTTTAGTCATTTTCACGGATCCTTGTGAACGGGGATCTGTACACAAAACTTTTCAAAAACACAAAGGATAACTTTTTCGTTTTTAGTACATCATTCTTATTCCTAAAGTCTTGGACACTTTCTGGTTATCCAACATTAATTGATCATTTTCATAAACCTTATGTAGCTCTGCCTCTTTTTAGCACCGCACTCATTGTCTTCTGTCCTCCAGAAGAATAGATTTAATTTCACACAGGCTCTGCCTCAAAGATGATGTAGATAAAAAATGAGTTACGATTAAATTGAAATATGAATAATAATAATATTATAAAAAAATTATTAAATTATTAAAATATTAATAATAATATTTTTTTATTAATCGCAAACCTGACACCTGGTTGTGCAACAGACCTTTTCAACGGAGCTAAAATTTAAAGTCACACAGCTGAGCCTCTTCTGTTACAAACAGCAAACCAAAACAAAACAATCTTTCCACATCCCTCATAAACAATATTTGAACATCTAAGCTCAAAAAGACAAATGTGGAAGACTAAATATTTGTTTTATCAAGCACCAGAGTACAACAGAGAAGCATTTGGCCCCTGAAGAATCACTGAGTGAGTCTGCTAGTTTCAGATCTACAGCGGTCCCATATGGTTGGGATTTAGCCAGAACAACCCACAGAGCCTCAGAGCTGCACGATTTCTCTGTGTTTCACATGAAACAGAACATATTTTGATGAACACAACATTACCACTTTATGCTGCATAATATAATGAATTAATCTGAAAAAAATATATAAATTATAGGCAGAATCATTTAATGGCTTAATGTAGAAACTAATGTGTTCAACTAATCTGAACTTCCTGGTTGTACTTGTGAAGGTAAACGAAAAATGTACCCAGAACACTTTAGCAATCATATACTATAGCAAAATACAAACATCCATCTAGAACACCCAAACAACCACCTAGTAAGACCCTAGTCACCAGCAATACACCCTAGCAACCAAATACCATAGCAACCACCCAGAACACCCTAGCAACTACATACCATGGCAACACCCTAACAATGACCCAGAATACCCTAGCAACCACACACCTCAGTGGCCTCCCAGAACACCCTTGCAAACACATACCTTAGCAACAACCTAGCGACCACCTAGAACACCCAAGTGACCATTCAGAACACCCTAGCAACAAACACAGAATCACATACCAAAGCAACACCCTAAGCAACCACCTAGCAACACCATAACGACCACCCAAAACACCCTAGCAACCACCTAGTAAGACTCTAGTAACAACCAGAACACCCCTTGCGAAAACATAATTTAGCAACAACCTAACAAACACCCAGCACACCCTAGCACCAATATACCATAGCAACATCCAAGCGACCACCTAGCAACCAACAAGAACACCTTAGCAACCACCCAGAATACCCTGGCAACCACATACCAAAGCAACCACATAGCAACACCATAACGACCACCCAAAACAATAGCAACTACCTAGTAACAACCTAGTGACCACCCAGTGCATCCTAACAACCACATACCATAGCAACACCCAAGCAACCACTTAGTAACAACCTAGTGACCAAACAAAACATTCTAGCATGGTGGTATTGAGTTTTGCATGGAGAAGAACCTCACAATTTTTTTTTAAGAAAACATATTCTTGATGCACGTTCACTGTCTAAAATCATGTAAAAATAAGGAAGCAAAAAAATGGACATTAGGATGTTGAGTGTACAGAGGCCTCAGCAGGTGTATTCCCAGTAGTTATGTGTATCTGTGATAAAAAGAGTCTCCTTCACTGATTGAACTAAACAGCTGAGCCCCAGCACTCTCACCGGGGGGCCAGATGAGACATGTTACGTGTGTGTTTGTGCACACAAGCATAAGTGTCCTCCACAAAGCCTGGGGTCTTCCCCCCTTTCTCTCTCTCTCTTTTGCGCTCCACCATTTGCATCCCAGAATAGTGTCATTCTAGCACTGCAGTAACTCTCTCTGACAGGCTATTATACTGCTGGAGATTGGACCGTACAATAACCACTTTAAGTTTAAATACTCTGAGAGTTTAAAACCCCCTCTGGCCATATATAAAAAGTTGTGTGCTTATCACATTCAGCCAAAAAAGCAATCTGATCTGTTATCTAATTTCATGCCACTTTATTATCATTATGTTCATAAGCGTAGCAGCATACAGTGGTGGTTAATCACCCTCCAACATTTGCGAGTGAGTCTTAACGTTTCACCCCATAATTAAAGCATTTATATTTTACTTATTAAACTTAATTCTATTTTATGATCATTAAGAGATATCATGACATTTTCCACCTAAATTCTCATTACTGTACTTGAGGTTTTTTGTAAGCCCCATTATTTTCAACGGTCATGAGAATAGATTATTATTAGATTTTTTTCTAATTATTATTAGATTAATATTTAAAAAGTAAAAAAATACTGTAACAATTTTTATCAGCATAAATTAAAGACAGTACAACAAATACTATTATGATATTTAATTATGTTTATTTATTATTGCATTACAATTTTTTTCGCATTACAGTAATAAGAATTTGGGTGGAAAATGTGCCTAATCATGATTAAAAAATAATGTCATAATGCAAAAAAAATATATATATATATGTATATATATATATATATATATAAATATTGACTGTATGATGAAATATGAATGGGCTTGGTACTCTATCTTGGTCTGGCTGTTGAACTCAGTTGCAAGTTAATATTAACTTAAAGACAGTTCCTTATTATGGCACTACATCAAGAAGACATTTCTTTTGTTAACATGGAATTTCATTTTCCAGGGTGTCACAGACAGTGGTATTTATGGCTGTTGGCTCAACAGGAAATTAAGTGTGAAATTGAAGGGAGACTCCAGGAGAACATTACAGGATTTGCCCTTGATGATACAGTACACTGAGAGAACAGAGCAAAGACTTTATGATCCATGAGATCTGAAGTTAACAGAAGAAAAAAAAACTTTACTTCAAATAAAAGGTTGTGGTCCTTTAATAAACCACAGGAACAGAGGGCCAATGCTGACCAATACGATAACAGATAAAACAGGAAAATAGGTTCAGCGCTGAAAAAAGTGAAGGTCAGATGAAGGAAACTCTTCAAAATGATTTCATAAAGAGCCATTACTCACTTCTGTCTGTTAGAGGTGAACCATTTTCAGGATTTTCAATAATAATACAGAAGATATACAAATTGAATAAAAATTACTAAAAAGTTTCAAATATGTGATATTTGACATAATTTGAGACACACACACTCGCACACACACACATTATATTTTTTCCACACTTCACACGTCACTTTCACTTAATGTTAATTTCAACATTTACAAATACATTATTAAAATCAAAAGTTGCATCTGTAAATATTATTTGTTGGACCTCAGCTAACATGAACTAAAAGTATTTTTAATGTTAATTTTTAAAGATTACAAACATATTGCTCGTTGTTAATGTTAGTTAATACATGAACTATTGTTCACTAAAAGGACCTTATTGTAAAGTGTTACCACGTGTTAAATCTTTACATTATGCATAAAATATGAGTGAACTTGCTCGTGCAAAATTCAATGCTATGGTTTTAAGGTATTCAGAGTGCTTTTTAGCATGCTCCTATGTGGTTGCTATGGTAAGCTAAGTGGTTGCTAGGGCATTGCAGGATAGCTGCTAAGGTGTTTTGGATGGTTGCAAGACAGTGGCTAAAAATAAAAGAACCAACCTTTAAGTCTTTGATGTTGTGGTCCATAGAAATGGTTTGTGTGTCCCCTTCAATGATTTTGTTATCTGGCATCAAAAATAAATACAAGTAAAAGAACATCTTGTTGCTGATTGGACAATGTATTATTATTGGGCAATCTGAGGTATTATTCATGTCCTTAGCAAAAATAGTGCGGGATGATTATGTGCCAAAGCTTAATACTTAGGGTTAGGGGTTTGTTTTCGAATCACTAACTCTAAGAATGAGCAGTAATAATAGGGATGCTTAGAAAGCACATAGGTTATTAAGTATAATTATCTTACTTCGTGAGGATGTCCATTAAATGCTGAGTCATGCCTTTCTTTCCACCTCAGTTGTGGATCACTTAGAAGAGCCTGCAGGCATGATATCACTTCTGTGGCCCAACACCATGACTCCTCAGTCTGTGTGATGTCATCACAGCTCTCATCTCCTCCAATCTGCCTGCGGAGGGGCTCTAGGTGCCTGTCGCCATAGTAACAAGAGGAGCACCATCCAGTGATGGCAGAGTGTAACAGTGGAGACCATATCTGTGTATGTTGACTTTCACAATCTAGTTTTATTCACAAAATAGTCTCGATGGTAATATGAATGTGATTTTAAGGTGACTGGACACTGGATAGCATCAGGTATATTTTATGGGATTAAATCAATTATTCCATATTTATTTAAGATTTGTTTCTCTTCTCTATTACATGCAATCAAACTAGTCATAATGTCATTATCCTCACTGGTGTGCAGGTGTGTGTGTGTCACTGCAGGCTGAGATGGATCTGCTGCAGTGAGTAAGTGACCTTGAGCTGCTTCGGGCTC